GACATCTGCTTCCCCAGCAACATTTGCGTTTCTGTGTGTTTCTACTACCTGCCAGAGTGACATTCCTGTACCAGTGTACCAGCACATGCCAGGCAAACAAACAAATGTCTTGACATCGACGAGAGCAACTGGAAAGGCTAAACAAATGCCATATTTAATGCCAATCTGGCAACAAGGCCAGAACCATCTTGTCATGTTATCTGATAAATCCTTATCTTCATCCTCTCTTGTATTTAGCCCCATTTTTGCAGTGGTTTGAACATGACTTGGCTCAAAGACTGTAACCTGATGCAGATGAGTAATGGAAAACACTGCTGGTCTACAATAAAGCACCATTGTGTTCAATCACTCATATATTTTAATTCAAGAAGGGAATCATTCAGTGATGTCTGGATAATAATCAAAAAGCTAAATGTATTCGGATTGTGCTACTGTAACATTAATTGGCAAAATGTGTGGATGCATACAATTACTGGGTATATGCAACAAAGTATATGTATCCTACCAAACATTTAAATTAGCAATGATAAGGATACAACATTTTGACAGTTTTTTTGCTCAGTCTTCATCATCATAGCCATTAAGGGGTTATCATTAATGCAACAAGTCCATTTAATACCATGAGGATGGTTCATAGATCCATGAGTTTCTTCGGCAAACTATCCAAGGACACTGTCATTGAAGGCCAAACACACAACAGCCTTCTGATGGCCGCTGTACTCCCGTTTGATCTCTCCGGTCTCCACACACCACAGACGTGCCAGGTTATCAGAGGACGCTGAAAACCCACAACAATTAACATATAAGCAGGAACGCTTCAAATGATTCCACTGAGGGCAACATACAGTTGTGAAAGAAAAATGAAAAACATATTTTAAATTTCTTATTTAGCACTGTCCTGATGCATGGAGAAAACACGACATGCAGGGAAAAAATAGGTATAACAGTCACGAATTAAGAATAATTTACTATTATTACTACGGTAAGTAAATGTAACATATGTAACAAGGACACTGTGAAATAAAGTGTTACCCAAACATTATTAAGAAAGAGGAAGTAAACTTCTGACCACTGACCAGAATAATTAGCATGAAGTATTTTTATCTTGTGTAACATTCTTCATGGCAGAATTCAACACCAAAAAAAACAAGCCAAACCAGAACCAAATCAAAACAACAACACAAAATAATCTCTTATATTGTGTCTCCACCAGACGCGAACGGCACGGCACGACGCGAAAAAAGCCATTATAATCAGTACTGATGCTGTCTACACTGGATGTGGCGCGACAAATTCCCGACAGTAAAATTATGCTTCCTCCTATTTGTTGACGTACTTCAAGTGCTTGTGGTACTTCTGACACGAAGAAAAAATGGATTTGCAATAGTTGCTTTGTCGTTGTTGGACCCACTTTATATTAAGGTCTGGTTTCACAGACAGGGCTTAAGATTAGGTCAGGATTAGGCCTTAGTACACCTATTACTTATTGGTGTGGATCTTGAGACAAAACAATGACATATTTTAAAATATGTCATTACAAGTTGCATTCAGTTAAAAAATTGCATTTTAGTCGGGGACAAGCCTTAAGCCTAGTCTGTGAAACTGGGGGTTAGTGTCTTTAAGTACTCTGTACTAACATTTAAATTAATAGTTTGTTATAATGCACTTATTGTGTACAAACATGTTGTGACATTGTACTTGTATTTAAAAAATGTAATTAATTTCTTTAGTAACATCTGCAATTACACTGTTGATCCTTCTCTTACACCCTTAAACCTAACCATACCACAAAACTGGTTGCTCTTTATTTCCAACAAAGTACTGAGTAATATAAGTTAACTACATTGGTTAAGATTAGGTTTAGGGGTAGTTTCAGGACCAGTACCTAGTTATTACCCAGTTACTACAATAAGTACATTGTATGTAGACATGCAGAACAGGACTGTAAAATAAAGTGTGTTCACCTGTAACTATGTACTGTGAATCTCCAGAGAAGGCACAATCCCACATCCAACCTCGGGACGTCTCTCCAGGGTTGTTACTCTTAATACTCAACTCTGTCATTAGAGAAAAGTTGGAGGTTCTCCAAATTTTACAGGTCTGGTCAGCAGAGCATGTGGCCAGTAATCTAGCAAAGAGACGAAAAAATGATGCATTGATTTGTATAATAGTTGTAATCAACTATTTCAATTTTTCACTGTTCTCCCATTGTTCCTCAGATTAGTGTTTTGCAAGACACTCACGTGGAGTCTGGGCTGAATTTGCAGCGTAACGAGTAGCGTTTGTGGGCAGGGATCTTGGTCTTGGGTATCAGTTGTGTCACCTCATCACCTATCCCTCCAGCTAAATTCCACACATAACAGTTGCCCTACAGTGAAAGACAAATAAACCAAACCAGTGAAAGACAAATAAATGTGTACTGCATAAATATATGCAGTACACATTAGCACAACATCATTAGTAATGTGGCATTTTGAAGGTTTAAAGGGATAGTTCACCCAAAAAAGTCATAATTTACTTGCCCTCATGTCGTTCCAATGAAGGTTCCTCCATTGAATGTCTATTCACCCAAAACTCTGGCGGTTCATAAAGAGATATTATGGATTTCTTTTACGATCTCTTTATAAACCACGTTTTGAAGAATCAAAGTTTTGGGTGGATAGACATTCAATGTCTAAAGAGTTATGCGCTTGGAACGACATGAGGGTGAGTAAATGATGAAACAATTTTCATTTTTTGTTGAACTATCCCTTTAAGGACTGCTATTGGTTACTGACCGAGCTGTTGACTGCAGCCATATAACTAGCATCAGGATCAATATGGACTGAATTGACGGACACATCTGGCTCTGGGATGAGCTGTTCATTGTGGTCTGTTTTCAAATCCCAGATATGGATAACACCACTTTGGTCCCCAACGATTAATTCAGCCTAAAGCAAAATACATGTAGAGAAAATGTACTTGTTTGTTCGACTGGTTTGATTGTGAGCATCAGTAGCAGATAATGAAATATTATCCAACTGACCTGATTGGGATGAAGACACACACAATTAATAGGCGCATTGACTTGAAATATCCTTTGGCACTGTAGGTTTCTTGACCTGAATGAAAACAGTACTTAAGTAGCACTTAAATCATCTTAAAACAGACTTTATACATACAGCAGAAAGCTTTCACTACCTCAGGTCCCAGATGCGAGCCATGCAGTCTTCCCCACCCGTGTACATCCACCGACCATCCTCGTGAAAGCCGACAGACGTGATGTTCTTGCTGACACCGTCGTAATTGATCACAGGATTTGGATTATTTGAGTTTAAGTCATACATACGTATGTGTTGATAACCTGAAATGCAAGAACAAAAGTACAGTGTGAAAACTACACAAGTATAGGAACAAAAGAAAACAAAAAGAGTTTGCACTGTTTGTAGTTTTATATGTAATGAGGTGCATGCTGAACTTACCAGCAGCAGCAATCATGCTTCTATCAGGCGTTACTTCAAGAGAATTTACCTGCTGGTGTTTGAGTTAAGCATCTTTAAAGTATTTTTTGTACCAGCTGTCCCTTGTGAAAAAGAAGTACACGTTGGAATATTTTTCTTTAAAAAAAAAAAGAGAGAGTACTTATTACAGAAATATTATACTTTAAAAAAAATTACTTAAGTGCAAAGTGAACTTAATGTTTTAATAAACTTAATCACGTTCTTTGCAATTAAATGAAAATGTATTATATTTAAAAATTTTATTAAATGCAATTAGATGAACTGCAGTGTACAATTTTTGACCCACTTAAGGAGGACTAAAGTACATTTTTATATGTAATTTCATAATTACATCTGATTTTTTCAAATATTTAAAGTGTACTTCTGAATGTACTTACAGACATTTATGATTACTAAAATACACTTGTATATGTTGAAATTAACTGTTATTTCTATTGAAATTTGTATGTCATCTATTTAAATAGATTTGTAATTACACATTTGTAATGATGAAGTTGCAATTTAGTACATTTAAATTGTATAACCGGTATACTAATACTGAATAACGCACTACAGTTAAAATTATAATCAAGTACTTTACATTTTTGTTAGTCAACACTTTAAAATAATTGTAAAGCAGAACAAAAGATTATTAAAAAATAATACACTTTATTTTAGGGTGACTTTGTTAGCATGTAATTATATGTACATGTATAATACTTATATGTAATTATATAAGTAGTGTACCATATAAGTAATATTAATTAACAACATGTTCTTGGTTTGGGTTAGGAATAGGTCTGGGTTAGGTTAGTTACGTGTAATTATGCATAATTTACTGTTAATACTACACTACAGTAAGTACATGTAACAAGGACACTAAAATAAAGTGTTAGCCAAAACTTCTATTTTGACATTAATACAAAGTGAACTTTTTAATTGTGTTTAGAACCGTAGTCCTGAAAGTGAACGCTGTTGTTGGTGAAGGATACAGAGTCCTGGTGCTGGACGGTTCTTGTGCAGATGCCGCTGTGAGCCTGCCAGAATCTCACGGTGTGATCATAACCAGCAGTGGCGAGAATCACCGGATCACTGCCCACGGTGCCTTGATTCACATTCATGATGAACTCAATCCAGACCTAACCACAACTTCGCAGGAGAATGACTCGTTTTAGCAGTGGCTGTTGAAAATTCATGAATATACCTCGATACGTTTTAATGTACTTGTTTCTGTTGGCAACAAGATCAAGAGAACAATCTGTTGTGATAGCTTGATATTATTTTTATGGTGTTAAAATGCTCTCTGAAACATGCAATTGGACAAACTTGATTAGAAAAAAGAGAAAGAGTCAATGGTCTTACCTGAGGGCGAATAATACACTAGAAAGTCGATTAGATAAATGTAAAACTATGATCTCAACAGCGAAATGAACATTATTTACAAACGTCAAACCTAAGCGGCGCTCCATCCAAACCAGTCCTCACAGAAACAATTCCTAAATAAAAGGTTCCGAGGCAGTGCTCAGTATTCATTGTTTTTATTAGTTAACGCATTTGAGCAAAATTAGTTTGAAACAAACATGCAAAGAAACATACATCAAGTTAATTAATTTATAGACCAGTTACAATACAATGAAATCAAATGCGACATTGGAGCAAAATGTCAAAAAATACATATATTATTAGTCACTACATATGCATTTGAACCAAAGTGAATTTAATACAAGTTGGAATTTAATATAGTTTATTTGATTTCACATGAGGAACCATGTTTTGTCACTTTGTTGCAAAACACCATCCAACCACAGAGGAGGCAAGGTTTTGTTTCACTTCAACGGGGTCAGCGAGTGCACATGACAAAATCCTTGCCCTCATTCCACTTCTGCTTTTAGGAGATGGAAGAACCTACAATTTAAAAAGAAGATTAAATTACATCCTTAAATATTCAATATTGAAAATAAGTGGCAAATGGTCCACATGATTAACCTTTAGATAAATTTTGCATCTCTCCAGAAGGAACTTCCACTGCAGAATTGTCCTTTCAGACTCCGACAGACACAAAAACGCTTCTGTCTGTCAAGAAAAAATATTTGACTTTTATTCTTTACAGTACACACAGACATACAAATTCTATAATATATTATTTACACAGTTCGTTTAAATGTTTACTTATTATATAATGTTAGACACAGGTCAGGTGAATGACCCCAAGGGTTGTGGTATCACTGCACAAAGGTTTTTGTCAGAGACAAAATAGTTGTAAATACATTTACAGAGTCTTGACCAGCATTAATGCAAGTATTAGATGCGCTCACTTTACAGCCCAGGGTTTTCTCAGCCATTGTTCCTGCCAAGTTGCACGACTGCAAAGTGCCAGTGTGATCACTGATGTCCAGCAGCAGATCAAAGCCTGTAGTAGCCTGGAGCGATTGTCCTTGATTTGGACAGGCATCATTGGAACACGTCTGAATCTCCTCACTGATTCGAAATTTGCATTTGGCACTAGTGGAGAAATTATTTATTAAACTCAGGTTTGTGAACATTAGGCATGGTTACCACTCTTTTTCAGTGATCATTTTCTAGGACATTTTCGATTTCACTACGGCGGCAATAATAGACAAGGATCAGGCACTAAAGTAATATATTCCTTTTAAGTCTTTAAAAGACGTACAGTTTATAGCCATGACTTAACTATGAAATCAGTTATTTAATATTTTTTAATTATACAGTATGACAAATGATTCTCGAAACCAATTTCAATACCATAGCAAAAAAATATTGGAAATTTTACTTTTTGAAAATAAAATTATTAAACAAAAGCCAATTAATTATTACTGTTAATAATAATTATAAGTAAATAACAGATTAAAAATGTGCATGTAGCCGTCAAACATTTATGTAAACATGTACTTGTTACCGGCAGGTCTATTAGTTTGCATTTTCACTTAATGCACACATTTATTTTGACTTATAAGACTTTTTTTGTCTTTTCTGTAGCTATGGTTATCACTGTCAATCAACACAATTTTGGATTCATTTCCACATTTAAAAATGGTTGTCCCTCCTGAAACTTTGCAGTGTGTACGTAGCAGCGTGAAAAATACAACTTTTATTCAAATGGTGAATGGGTTATGTACATATGGCAAACTAACCCTTTATAATATAGAGCACTATTGAGAGGATTCTAATTAACTTCTTAAACACCTCTTATTGGTCATTGTGTTCATGTGCTCAACATTGGCTACAATGCATAATGCTGTAAAAACACGTTGTAACTAGAAACCTTTGATACTCTATAGTCAGATTAGTCACCTATCAGCCGGGACCTTTTTTTTTTCAATTTCAGTATAGAAATAGTACCAAAGTACTTTTGACATCAATCAGAACTAAATAAAACAGGCTGTGTCACTGCTGTAGGTTGCCATGCTGACCCCTGCCTTATATTATGCATACAAATTATTAGTTAGTAAATTAATAAATTAAATGTTAAGGTTAGGTAGCTGCTTACCAGTTGACATTTGCTGCAAAGTGCAAACATTTTAACAGTTAATAACATTAGCTACCTGATGCAAGGGCCGATATGAGACCATTCAAAATACTTCTCTCACGTGTCAAATCTCAGCGTCCCTGAACACAGCACTTTCTGCAACTAACGGTAAATGTTTCAGGGAGCAATAAACTCTTCATTCTCGGCTAAAAGAAAACAGGAGATTTGACATTTTCTCTAATTTTCCAGCATGCGTGGGAACCCTGATTAGGTCATTGTACAAAACTGTCAAAGCATTGCACACTTACCATTTCTTGCGAATGACTTTGGAGATGGAGGAACTTAGATCAAGAGTGGTGATGAATCCATATGTTATGCAATGAAAGACATCAGCATGTTCTTGACTTCTGGCTTTGAGTTGGTTCACAGTCAGAACGTCACTAATGGAATCCACTGAGAAATAAATGTAAGGATACAGTTTTACTGTGTGTTACTCTATGAGCTACACATACTGCATTGTTGATGTAGAGGTCTAAATGTATATAGATCAAACGACTTACATGGCACATCATCACCTGAGAGGATGTCTTGGTCATCCAGTCCTCCGGCTTCTAACAGTTCCCTTATACACGTGTACAGCTGGTTGGCTTCTGCTGTATCTAGAATGCAATTGAAAGAATATAAGGATTTTAACGATAAAGTCAGATTGTTAAAACATTACAATAGTAAGTTTTTAAATAGATTCTTTAATCTAGCGTATCACATCACTACCAGGGTTGACGGTTATGATTGTTTTTGAGGTCGCTGTTGCTATCATACAACTACGAAAACTGTCAAAGGTGATGCGAGCATCTGCAATAAACAGCACTGGGAAAAAATAAGTATAATTAATTAAATTCCTCACATATTAGAAATTGCAATTGGAAAATAAACATACAAATAAACATTACCTGCTTCTCTTTGTGTCAGTGTTTGTAACAGCCGAATGGTTTCTTTATCCCAACTGGATGAAAAAATAAATTAAATGACTTTATTTAGTGTTTGGCGTTGATGTTTGCAGTTAATTTTAAAAAACAAACTGAATTCATGCAGTTTTACTCACCACACTAAAGGAAATGATGTCCCAGTGTCATCAAAGAGCTTTATTTCTAGCCTCTGTCCTTTACGCCCATCAGATTTTGAGAAGAATTTCTCCTCTCCAACCTTTGGATGACAAAATCTCAATCACTGAAAAGGATCTTTACATCTGCAGGGTGGAAAATTGCTTTTTTATTGCCCACCAGTCACGGATGTCAGGGTATGTTAACTTCCCTGACATCCGTGAGAAGGGCTGACAGTATATTGTTGGAATCTTACCGACTGCAAAGCTGCTAGCATGTTAATAATGTGTCCATCCAGACTCTGTCCGTTTGCAGTAATGTCTCCCAATGAATAGAAGTCCCTTGGGTCTTTAATTGGCATGTGGAATAGCGGCAGAATCCTGGCCTCTGTTTCTAAATCTGAGCATATTCTAATGCTTGAGTGAGTCTCTGTTACCAACAGCCTGTAGGTACTGAGATGAAATATGGTTATGTATCACTTACAAATACAGTATGATACAGAATATTTATTAGTTAGGTGTGATTTTTCATTTTATCCTCTCTTTTTTTTTTTTGTTTACCTGGGAGTTGAAGGGCAAAATCTTTCTTCTTTCTCATAGTCTTTGGTCACAACGAGGGGATTTTCAATTACAACTAAAACAGAAGATGCTATTTTGGCTCACAGTTTCAGTTCAATGTAGGTCATCTATTATTATAAGTTTTTTTTTATTTTTTTTATTTCATCTATTATTAGTAGTTAGTTTTGTTAACACAAGAATGTGACATCTAAAATTAATGATTACTACTGCTAAATCTCACCACAATCCCCAATCTGAAAGCAACTGCTCAGTCCTTGGATGTAATCCTCGTTTCCCCATGCAGACACATTGATAAAATGTTCTGGTGAATCTTTTACGGTGAAGCTGAATGTGAACCTTTCAGAGCCAACATCTGAAATCAAAAGAAAAGACTGTTAAAAAAAATAAAATATAATAAAATGAAACCAGGAAATTTGTAATGTAACCAACTTTTCCTGTCTGGAAATCCTCTTGAATCAGATTTCCCAATTATTACTCCAACCACTTTCTGGAAAAATGAACAAAAAAAGGCCTTATTTTTCTAATTGAAAACATTCCTTACATGCATTAAAAGACCAATTTTGTTAAAAGCCATTTTATCATTACAAAACTAAGTAGCCTAGAATAAACAGATATAAATAATGTACTATGTAATTGGCCAATTATTCATTAAAATTACGATACCACCATAACCAGGCACTCAAGAACAAGTCTTATTTGCCTCAATAAGTCTCACCGAGTGTGTGATGTTTATGTTTAGGTCACATATTGGCACATATCGTTGTACTGGAGCGTACGTCATTTTCATCTCTGTAACAACAGTGACACAACGGGAAAAGCACTCATGACTATGTAATTCCAATAAGTAATATCCAACTAGCAAATGAGAGTTATCAACAAACATAAAAAGTTAGCAACATTCCTACTGACCTGACGAACTAACGCTGAGGTAAAAGAGTTTCGCTGCTAATTGTTACTTAATTTGTAATCTATATAACTCGTTATATAATTAAAATACTCTTTAAATAATTAATCAACTTTTTATAATTGGTTAAGTTTCGAGGAAAATCTCTCACTTCTTACAAAGTCAAGGGCACGCGAAGAATGAAGGGTCTCTCTCTCGACTCCGAGCTATGAAGAAATGTGACCGTTTCTTCTTACGAGCGGGAGCGGAGCAGCGTCATTTTGGCGGTTCAAGACATGATGTCACCTAAGCTGTCACTGCTGCTAATATTTAAAAACAGCAACAACAAATGAAACAAAAATAATTGTTTTAATTCAGATTTTAATAGCGGAAAACAAAATAAAAAGACAGTTTTTATGTAATAGGAACAATTTCAATAAATTATGTATTTATGATGCAGACAATAACATAAACACATTCATGCAGGATTCAATAAACTATTAAGATTTCGGATGAACAATTCGGTTGAAATACACACACACACACACATATGGTAGTGGTGGTGTGCAGTGGTTAACTTAATGTCACATTTTTCTTTACTTACACTATCAGAAAAAAGATGAAAGAAACCAAATACAATTCTATTTTGTATTTTTATATATGTAATTAATGTTCCATTTATTAAAACCAAGTATAAATGTCATCAAGTTAGTACACTTATTCCAAAATAACTCAAGGCAGTAACAATTAAAACAATATATTTTATTTTTGTGAACTGATGTTCAGCTGTACTTTTTAATAGTCAACTTAATTTCGGTTTATCAATCAGTAATCTCAGTAATCACTGGTCACAGACACGAAGATGTACCTTAAATTTCCTCAAGCTGATTGCTCACAAAAAAAAAAAAAAAAAAAACAGTCGCCATGTTTTTGGGCCATTTCAATTTTTATTTTGATGTGACAAAGTGGTTAAGCTGTTTATTTGCTTTATAATAAGTCTTCCTATTAACCACCATCCACCAGGAGCCATTTACATTAAATATATATATATATATATATACAGTTGTGGTCAGAATTATTGGCACAAAAAAACCTCTAACCTTTCATTGAAATAAAAGAATGGAAAGTAGGGGGAAAATCACATTATGAAATAAATGTTTTTCTCCAAAACACGTTGGCCACAATTATTGGCTAGAATTTTTTATGAGTAAAATATCTCTGAAGTATATTTTCATGAATATTTACATTATCACACCAGGGTGACTAAACACGAAATTGTCTAGCTATGACTTGTTTCACATGAGCTTCTTATTTCACAAGAGTATAAATATGAGGAAACTCAAAGGCCAAATTCTCTTCACAATGAGTAAAACCAAAGAATATAGTTCTGATGTGCAGCAAAAGATTGTTGAGCTTCACAAAATAGAAAGTGGCTGTAAGAAAATTGCTAAAGCATTGAAAATCCCCATTTCCACCATCAGGGCAAAAATTAAGAAGTTCCAATCAACTAAAGATGTTATGAATCTGCCTGGAAGAGGACGTGTGTCTATATTGTCTTAATGCACGTTGAGGAGGAAAGTGTGATTGGCCAAAGACTCTCCAAGAATCACAGATGGAGAATCGCAGAGATTAGTTGAGCCTTGGGGTCAAAAAGCCTTAAAAAAATTCAAACAACCCCTACATCACCACATGTTGTTTGGGAGGGTTTCAAGAAAAATCCTCCTCGCTCATCCAAAACCAAACTCCAGCATATTCAGTTGCTATATGACTGGAACTTCAAAAGGGACCGGATTCTATGGTCAGATGAAAATAAAAAAAGAGCTTTTTGGCAGCAAACTCACCAGATGTGTTTATTGCAAACAGGGATAAAAAGTACCCCATGCCCACGGTTAAATACTGCTGGATCTTTAATGTTCTGAGCCTATTATTTTTGCTGGAGGTCCTTGACATCTTGTTCAGATGTACACGGTATCATGGATTCTAGCAAATACCAACAGATAAAAAATCAAAACCTGATGGCCTCTGCTAGAAATCTTATAATGGGCCGTGGTTGGATCTTCCATCAGGACAACAATTCAAAACAAACATCAAAACCAACACAAAAATGTGTCACTGAGCACAAAAGGAAGCTTCAGCCATGACCATCCCAGTCCCTGACCTGAACCGTATAGAAGATGAGTGTGGTGAACTGAAAACAAGAAGCACCAACATGGATCTGGGAATCTGAAGGATCTGGAGAGATTCTGTATGAAGGAATAGTCTCTGATCTCTTGTCAGGTGTTCTCCAAACTCTTTAGGCATTATAGGAGAAAACTCAGAGCTGTTATCTTGGCAAAAGGAGGTTGCAAAAAGGCAATAATTAATAAAAGGGTGCCAATAATTATGGCCAAAGTGTTTTGGAGAAAAACATTTATTTCATAATGTGATTTCCCCCCCACTTCGATTTATTTACTTCAATAAAAGGTTGGAGTTTTGCAAATTTTTTGAATGAAAGATCAAAAGCATAAACAATGCAATTTATTTTTACAGCCATCTTTGATCATATTTACCAGGGGTGCCAATAATTCTGACCACAACTGTATATAATAGGGTTATTATAATGTTAAAAGTATTTTATCAATGTTAATAGTATATGATAATAGGCCTAATAATAATCTCGATAATGACACGTAAATTGCTTTATTGAAGGTTTACAGTTAACATTTTACATCAACAATATTCGAGACTGGTTTTATCAGTAAGTATTTTCATTCATTCATGATAAATCTTGAACATGCTCATATTAGCTTATGCAGACTAATATAAAAATATATCAAATACAGTGGTCTCTGTGGTGTACGGGACGGTCATAATATATCTGTGAACAGGACCCCCAATCTGGGGCTTTTCCCTTGTCCACTTCATGAGCTGAACATCCGTTTACCAGTGTGCAAGCAACAGCAGCAGCCTCATCAGCATGGACAATCACTTCGCTTAGTGTTTATCAACCTTATCTGATAAGAAAACAAGTTTGAGGAAGAATTCAAGTGATTACTTAATTATGTAAATAAGTATAAAGCCATATCATACTGCCATATTATACAGAAAATTACATTTGCTGGTAGTAGTGATGACTTACCTTTTGGGACAAACTTAAGCGAGTGGCTGAATATTCAAAAACGTGATAAGCCCTCCTCTGGCCCATCATTCAGAAACTCATGGCCTAGTCCATTACCACACTTGCCACACAGAACCTGCACATGCATGTTAACATGTATGAACACACATAAACATATTTGTGGTGTTGTTAAATATTAACTAATGTTTTGAATCTGATCTAACCTTGAAGGCTGTTAATGACTCCATCATTTTTGTTACACTGTCCTCTCGGATGGTCTCTGTGAAGGCAGGCCAAGGGGTGGAATGGGCATATTTGGATCTGCTTGAAAAGAGTGGATGTCCACATTGGGAACAAACATATATACCTGTAGAGAAACAATAAATCAGGAAAATGTTCTTTTTAAATTAACATAACACAAACATTTTGTTTTCTTAGCTATAGAATAGTACAGCAAATAGTAAAGGGACTGTCGCCGCATCAGTTCGTTCATCCAATTGATTAACTTACATCATAATCGTCCTAAAGGTAAAGGGAGCAGGTTAAATAATGAATTAGAAGGAAAAAAATACTTACCGGGTTTGAAATGATCTTTATACAACTCCTTCCCGAAAAATGAACAAAATGACATTGTTTGTCAGAGATCAACAGATAAATCAAACAGCGTATTTTATGTGCAGCTCAAGTACGAAGACAAGCTGGGGAACTGACTTAACAACGACGTCAATGTTCCGGTCACGTGACCATTACAAAACTGCTCGGTTGAACTTCCTCCAAAGGACCGCTAGGTGTCAGTGCAGATCTACCGAACACTCAAATCTACGTGGTAAAATCATAGACTGTAAAAATAATTGTTTGATATAAAAATAAGGTTTCATTAGTTAACAATAATTAACTACTTTAGTTAACATAAAATAAGAATGAACAACACTTCTACAGCATTTATTAATCTTAGTTAATGTTAATTTCAACATTTACAACATTATTCTAAATCAAAAGTTGTAATTGTTAACATTAGCTAATGCACTGTGAAGTAACATGAACAAACAATGAACGACTGTATTTTTATTAACTAACATTAACAAATATTAATAAATACTGTAACAAATGTATTGCTCATTGTTAGCACGTTGGTTAATACATTAAAACTAATGTTAACAAATGTGACCTTATTGTAAAGTGTTACCTCAATATGTAAAAACGTACAAATTATACTTTATTTCATAAAAAAATTTCATTAAATGATTACTGATTTATCATTAATGATTAATGAAACATAATGATTAATTAAATCAAATAATAATAATAAGTTTTAATAGAATGCTATGAAATGTTGCATGGAATGTTCATGAGCAACATCTTAAAAAAATGTATAGGCCTGTATATTTATGGCCTATACATTTTTTTTAAGATGTTGCTCATGAATATTCCATGCAACATTTCATAGCATTCTATTATATAGATAGGCAACAGTGGGGTCAAAAATCTGAGGTCACAAGTGAAAATGCAAGTATTTTGCATTTACCTAATTTAAAAAACAAAAAACAAAGAGAAGACTTTTTTATATTAACATTTTACAAACATAAAAGAAATGTCCAGACCCAATTGTACTAAGGATAAACATATAAATTAATATTTTTATTAATACAGGTATAAATGATACTTTCTATATCAATTAATAATAAAGTTATAATAGGCCACATAATGAATGCTGAAATGTTCCATGAAATGTTCTTAAACAACATCCACATAAAAAAAAGAAAAGAAATTACAGTATAGGACAAAAGTTGAAGACTACAAGTGAAAGGAGGTTCGGAGACCTAGAAATAGTGAAGAATCATAAATATCTCTTATTCATACAGTATATAATATAAATTATATTCATTGTATATAATATGTCTTATTCTTAATTAAAATTTTTACATAATGTTTTCTTATATGCTTATATTCAAAATCCTAAAACTTATCACAGTACCAAAATATACTAATTGAAATTATTGAAAATGAGTAGAATTATCAAGTTTTAGCTACATAAGTGCTCATGCCATGCACTCTTGATGTAATAATTTGCATCTACAAAGCTACTTGAAGAACATTTATTAAATTGTTCAGTTGACATTAGGGTTAGGGAGAGAGAAAAAAAGCGAGAGAAAAAAAAACATTCTAGCGACTCTCAGTCTTAAAAGTCTTTGCTGCATTTACCCAGATGATGGGTTTTGCTCACTCATATTTGCAATAGTGTTTAAGTAACTCCGGAAGTTCCAACCAGTCCAAAGCCATTCTGTGAATAATGTGTTTCTGAATTGTCTTTCGGCAGAGCGTCTGCAATGAAGAAACTAAAACACAGGGGCGGAGACAGGAATCATTATAGTCTGTCATACAATAATATCAAATCATATTAGCAAGTAAAAATGAAACTTACAGCCATATTCCACCTGGACAATCCGAACACATTTAGTAGCTGCAAATACATCCACAACAGCATACAGTGGCTTATCGGTGGGGATCCTCTTGGCAGAGGCTCCCATGTCCTCACCATTGATGATAATGTGCATGTCGCCATACCCTTGTCCCTTAGGTACATGGACAACCCCTATCCGACTGCGGCGGGCTGTTGGGGGTAAAGCATTGGTTTTGTACAGATCATCCAGGATGTGACTGTACCTCCCCGGTCGACTGCGTCCCACCAACTTGTCTCTTGGTATGCTCATGTTTTCTACATACAGATGAGTGTCTGTAAAAAATGTTTTAGGCTTGTTTCCTACCTCATCACCTAAATTTGGCTGTTCGCCACCCTCTACTTCTCCTCCATCCTCAATGACTTTATTATGGTTTCTTGTTATTGCAAACACCCAGCTGTCTCCCATTTCCACAAGATCGGGCAGAGAGTATTCTGGCACAGTTTCCAGTGTTCGTGGGTCAAGGGCGGTAAGTCCAATCCTTAAATGACCACACCAACCCAGTTCTTTCTCTTCAATCTCCACTAGGAAGATCTCGCCAGGGCTTAAAGGGTCTTTACTGAAGCAGACGCCATTTGCAAAGCTTTCTACTCGGGTGGCCTGAGTCCCCGAGGGGTCCAGTTTCACATTTGTCCCATGAACTGAGTGAAATTCCATAAACTGACCAAAAACAGCTGCCATTTTGACAGTTCTTTATACAAGTTAAATAAAACAAGATAAGTGAAATGCTTTTCAAGCCTATAAAACAAATGCACTAAAGATAAAACAATGAGTCAGTCACCTTTTTGAAAGCAGAATATTTACATTATCCTCAGTGTTTGCTCTCCTCTTCTCTGGGCATAGTCCTTGTCTTTTTAGCATATACCTCCACCATGGTATCCTTGTGGCCTGGGGAAGTTTCTAGTCCTGAAAGGCAGACTATTTTTGACCTGCTGCATGGCATTGGTGGTTTTAAATAGCTGGTAAGATATGCTGAGGGAAGAATAATGACTGGTAAGAGTTTTAGCCTTCAGATTAGAACTGCTCATTGAAAATTCTCCAAATTTTCACAGATTTTTTTTGTTGAAGATCATAGTGTTAAAAAAAAAAAATCATAAGGAAGTACGAAGTGAGCTTGCATGTATATCTTTTAACATGTATCTTCTCAGTACAGAGAAAGCTGTGCTAAGACAGTGTCACAAATCTTTATCTAGGCCAAATTGTCCTCTTTTACCCCCACCTCAGTACAGTCTGAGATAAAGAAATATTAGTGAGGACTTGGAGACAGGCTGCATTGTGAGAGTTTTTAATTTTTTATTATTTTCCTGTTTTAATGTCAGATTAATTGACCTCGTCCACATGCTCAAGAATATTCTTATATCAATCGGTGGGGTCATTTAATGATTATGTTAGTCTGATTCCCCTAACCGGAAACAGTAGCCTATTCCAGTTTCTAAAAATCAGACAGCAAAAAAGATAGCTGCTAACATATTCAGAATATCCACCATAATTTAATATTTATTTATTTCTGCACATGTCCAAACAAAGTTAATTTCAGGATGATGTTAAATAAAATCTGAGGCTATTGAAAAAATACAAAGTTCTGTAATGAATCTCTAGATGGCGCCGCATAATTGGTCCTGCATTTTTTAAAATGATTTTATAATATTTAGTATGATGTTAGTATGATTTTTACATCAATAATTGTCATAATTTTGAAATAAAAGGCCTTTTTCCTACCCTGATTTTAGCCTCTGATTTGAATGCTCTGTTTGAAGGGCCGTGTCTGCTGTGAGACGTCAGTGTAAACGCCCACTGCTGTGATTGGCGGACATGTTTACATATGTATTAGCTAGTATTACATGTGGAATTCTCTCGTTTAGTAATTAGTACGTTTTTACAATTACAGTTCTCAAGGTTTACTAATCGTAAAAACTGTTGATTATAGCATCATGTTTAGATTGTGGCCTGAAAAAGGTTGCAGTGATGAGCATTGTAACCGACCTCAAACATGTTGAGCGCATGAATACAGCAATCTCGTCATTTTAACTAGATTTCTGCACACTAATGAATGCTTTCATCATAACTAACAGTGTTAACACAATGGAAATGGTTGTTTCTAACGGGAGCTTTTGGCGAGACTCCAGAACACTCCAGCCTTTGATTGACAGAGCTTTTTTTTGATCACTTTCTGAAATTTAATCACAGTTTAAATAACAGATTTTTTTATTTTTGTTGTTGTTGTTTTTTATCAGGGACAACGTACAAAATACATTAATCTTACGAAAAGATGTTTTGTACCAGAGTTAGCCGAAGCTAATTTTCATCTGCAGTCCGCGGACAGGTACACACAATGGCCCTCATTTATCATTCTTGCGTAGAAACAAGCGTATATGTTGGCGTAAGATTATGCTTACACTCCTCTCACCGCCTGATTTATGAAGCTGTGCGTACCTTTGAAATCCAGGTGTACGCGTTTTTAGCCGCGGGATTTATCAAGGGCAGGTATTGCGTACGCAATACCTGCCCTTGATAAATCCCGCGGCTAAAAACGATCGTCATTAGAATAACACGCCCCTATATATTCAAGTCTCCGCTTCCCCCACGCCCTGATTTTACGCCATGGACACACGGAAGACGGCAAAGAAGAGAAACTTCTCTGACGTGGAGGCGAAATGACCTATCACAATGCAATATTTTACAGCACGTCTTCTGAATTAGCATTCAATTTCGAATCACGTTACATGTATTGGTGTGTACAATAGTGATGATGATGATGATGTGATGTGGAGTAGGCCTACCATTCATTCACATTAATAATTGCATGACAATTTGTAATATGCTTCTTATTATTAGTATGATTTGTATTATTAATGACGCTTATTGTTATTTAGAAGAAGAATGTCATTATTATTATTTGTATTATTATTATTATTTAAAAGAAGAAGAATGTATTTTTTATTATTTTGTCAGTCTGAATTATTTGTTGGTCATTGAAAGCCTTTCGTTACCGAACTCAGTCCGTGCGCACCTGCCGATCCTAACCATGGAACGTCAGGGTAAAGCGCACAGGCTCGCAACTGAAGGAATACGCTTATAAATCAAATGCTTTGGTAAAGTCACTAAAATTAAACATTGAAGTCCATGTTGCACAAAAATAAACACTGAAGTAAATAATTACTATGTTTTTGTTTTTTTGTTTTACTGTGGGTCATAATATATCATATCTTTTAGTTTGTCAGTGCGTTTTGTGGTGTTAGGAATTGTTTTTCTGCGCATTTCCGCACTAAC